CCTGCCTGGCTCCCTCCTTCTCAGGCATGATTTGCCCGTGCCCCTTGCTGCCCCCCTGCTCCAGTCCCCAGATCCCCCCTCTCCCTGACACTCTTCCTCCCTTTGCGCTCCGCTCCCTTTCCCTTTCCCTGGCTGCCTCTCCCCCTCGCTGATTGCTATGCAGTCTGTAGCTGAGAAGTCACTAACTCCGAGGTAGGATCCAACAGCTTTCGCTACTTTAGCCCATCCTCGCCTGTGAGCTCAGAGCTGCGGAGCCGCCATGGGGGAGACGAGAGCAACCAGCGGCAGCGGGAAAGGARTGGTGGGGCTGCCAGATGCCCCCAAGGAGGTGAATCCTCCTGCTAGGCTGGCGTGCAGAGATGAAATAACTATTGTCAGAGGTTTTTTCCCGCCTGGATTTGGGGTGCTGGGCTGACACCTCGCCTTGAGGAGGGACCGGGCTCTCTCAGCTGATGCAGACTGTTTGTTGTGGGGTGCTGCCTCCCCACTCTAGAGAGCAGGTGATTTCCTGCCTGGATGGGTAATACTGAGGACAGGAACATGAACACGAAGGGACAAGCCCTCAGGGCTCTGGGATAGTGTGCAGCCACCCTGACAAGAAACCTGTCCAAGAAACCTCTTCTGGGTACGGCCAGCAGCAACTCAGAGGCTTAAGAAAGGTCACTTCTTTGTGACAAGGAGAGAAGCCAGAAGCTGCAGCCAAACCCAGAGGTCCCTGACCACACAGGCAGTGGGTGTAGGCACAGGGTCCTGGGGACAGCCTTGCTCCAGGACAGCATTGTTTGAGRCCATGATTTTCGTCCTGGTGTCTCATCTGCTGTCTGTAGTGTTAAGGCCTTTGCTGAAAAGTCAAAAAAGATCAAAAAAACATTTTTTGAGTCTCCTCTGGGCCCCAATCCTGCAACAATCATGATCTTCTCTCCCAAAATCATCCCAAGGTGTGGCACATGGGAACACACTGTGGAGCTGGCTGTCCCCTGCCAGCACCAGTGAACACTGCCAAGGCGAGTACAGCCTGCTCCCACCTGGCAAAGCCACTGCCAGGGAAGCAGAGGGCGGGTTTAGTAGCTCCATGCAGATGAGCAGCTGCAAACCAGGAGCGCAGCAGTCTCCTGAAGGGGCATTTCACCCCAGTGAACCCATGGCTGCTCCCAGTGGAGGATCCTGAGAAGCTGCTGTGCCTAGATGGACCAGGGTCAGCCTGTCCATCCCCTCTGCAGCCATCCCTATGGGATATCTTGTTCAGGTTCACATGGGTAGTTACTTTCCCAAATGCCCTGTCTCCAGGGCCTGTGGGGCTGCTTCCCAAGAGCTACTGGCCACTATCTGCACAGCTGCCCTTTGGCAAAGCATCCTATCCCTCTGGCACCATAACAGGCCTCTCCTCTTCATATGGTGAAGGGATGAGATGGGGCTCAGACATCTTTCTCCCTCCCAGAGGAGGCAAAGCCCTCTGCAGCYACCTCAGCTTCAGGTTGGGCTTCTGCTCTCTGTCTTTTGCTTCTGATGGCCAGCTCCCCCCGAGACCTCACCGTGCTTCCCTCTGCAGCAGGAGGATGAAGAGCTGCCCCTTGTCCATGGTGTGGCAGCCAGCACTGCCAAGAGGCAGTTGGCACTTCCAGAGCCAGTGAGAGGGACATGGGGATGTTACATAGAAGATGCCACTGGCCCCTTGCTGTCCTTGTGCCCCCCAGGTGCCACACCCTGACCGCCCCATGGCCGTTGGCCCCAGCAGCGGGGTGGCTCACACTCACCACCCCCGTCCGTCTCCACCAGCACCATCTTTAATAAGAAGTGTGGAATATTTTAGCACCTATGGAAAAGCCACCACAGACGGTGGTGGCAGCCGTTGCCAGGGAGACGCTCCCAAAAATAGCCCCACTCCGCCAACCTTTCCCAGTGCTGCTGTGGGGATTGAGGGAGTTAGAGGGATAGAGGGATGGAGGGATGGAAGGGTGGAGGGAGGGATGGATAAAGGGATGGATGAAAGGAGGGAGAGGGATGGAGACATGGACAGAGGAATCTTTGGAAACATGAATGGAGAGGTGAATGGAGAGAGAAGGAGGGAGGAGTGGTTGAGAAGATGGAGGGAGGAATGGATGGAGAGAGTGAGAGAGATGGCTAGAGATGGATGGAGACATGGGTGGAATGGAAAGCAAGAGCTCCTGGGACGGTGAGCAAACGCTGCCTGCCCCCTCTCCTGCCTGGACACGAAGAGAAGTTCTACCTCCATGCCAGCAGCTCCTGCTTGGACACCTGTGACACTCCTGTGACACCAGCTATGCCAGCACAAACCCTCAAGCTGTCTCTGTCCTGAGCAGGTCAGACTTAGAGTGTTTAAATCAGTGAACAAAGTTTTGGACTCCTTAGCACCTGCCAGGATCCCTCTGCAATCCTCCTCCAACCATCCCACCTCTGTCCCCAGTGTTCCAGAACTGCCCAGCCAAACTGACCTGGCCATGGGGGCAGAGACGGTGAGACACAGAGCTGGTCCATGGTGTTCAACCCCCCCATGTTCCCCAGCCCCTCCAGGAAGCAGAATCATTTATTTCCCTGTCTCAGATGAATGCCTGAGGGTGCCCACTCTCGCAGGAGGTCTGGATGCAGCCTGAGCAACAAACTGCAGCAGAAATGGAGTGGGACACCTGGAGCATCAGCAGGGGCAAAAGCACAGAAGCTTTCCTGATAGAAGGAAACAAATCTGTTAGTGACAAGGAAACCCTCTTTTGTCCCTCTTCTCACCCCATACCCATCCCTTCACAGGACAGGCAGCAGTGGAGAAGGGCCCTGGATGCAGCTGCTGCTGCCTGGCCCAGGGGCTCTGCAGGAGGAGCCTTCCAGACCAGCAGAGGCAGATAGGGAAACCCCAAAAATAGAACTAAAGGAGAGGGGGAGGGGGAGAAAAAAATAAACCGAACAACCCCAAAATCTCATTTTTAATATAAAATTCCAGCTCACTTGCCTCCTTGTCACCCTTGTGGTCACCATGGAAACGGGAGGCATGGAGAGAGCATCACCGTGCTGGGTGGTAGCAGCACCCGGCATTATTTTGGGAGTCAGGGAGACACCCGGCGCAAGGCACTTAGCATTGTGGCAGGGTGGGGGGAGGGAAGGTTTATTTTTACTTGGTCCCACTTCATGTGCCAATTTTTTCTTCTCTGAGAGCCTGGATGCCCCTTACCCTGCAGCAGCTTTCCTGTGGCCCTCATGTGCCACACAGGGATGCCCCATGGGAACACCCCAGCCCTACCACCATGTCCCAGTGGGGTGAGCTTGATTGGGCTTCTCCCTCGAAGTGCCTGTAATGGTCACCTCAGCCAGCTGTTCCTGGTGCCACAGTGGGAGAAAACGCTGGAATTTGGAGCCCATCAGTTCTTCTTGGGAAGGTGCAAGAGGAAAGACAATGAACCTTTGCCACCCACAACAGTTTTACCCCTCTGCAGGGGACTTCTTTCCCTGGGTGGGACAAGAAGCTGCAAAGAGGAGTGCAGGGACAAGAGAAAGATGAGAGTTCACAGATGTTGCATGCCAGGAGATTGGAARGAGATCTCCAAAATCTGTTCCTTCCTCCCAACTTCACTGCTCCACAGGTCAAATCTCCTTGCCCACTTGCAAAAGGACCTGGCATACCAGGGACCTGCAGGGCCACCAAGGCTTGGGGCTTGTCTTTCACCAGCACCAACACRGCCTTGAAAAGCCCTGGTGAAATCCCAGGCAGCTCCACTCTTACATCTGGAAACCCAATTCAGCCAGTCCCTACCCTTTGCCAATCGTGTYCTTTGTTCTAAGCCACCCTTCTCCCACTGCACCAACCCCTGCCTCAGTGCCCTGGCTGGGAGCAGGCAGGGATGTCTCCAGTTTTGTGGGGCCGAGCAGGTGTTTTCCAGCCCAGCCTGTGAATCCATCTGGAAAAGCCCTATGATGCAGGTGCTGGAGTGTCAGAGAGGGAAAACACAACCGCCAACCTAATGGGCAGGGAGGAAATGTATGCAAATATATTCAGAAAGGGATCCGGTAATGCTAATAGGCCTGTTAATCCTCACAGAAATCAGCAGGAATTATATTTTTACACTTTAGTCGTTAAGGATTTTACTTCAAGCAAGCCCATAAGGGCAGAGAGAGATGTGTAGGAGATGGGCACAGGTCATGGTTGGGGGCAGGGAGGGCAGCAGCCAGTGCCASCTCCAGGAAAAGAGCAGGCAGGATCACACAATCCAAGAGTAACCAAATTAGATACGTGGTCAGATGTSATTTTTTTCAGGGATGAGGAGATAAATTAAAACTTCCGCTTGATTGTACTAACATAACTTTATATTAGTGATTAGATATTGAACATTGCTGGGTCTTGATGCAGAGCTCCTCCCACTGCTGCCCTAAGATCTCCCTGCGTAACTGCTGCTCCAAGGATAAGGTTTATCCAAACCAGCTGATCATCCAGGGTTGTTTTCAAAGACATTAAAACTTTCTAACAGTCACTACTGAGCTCCTTTCTGTGAAATCTATAAAACCAGCAGTAACTATGTGCTTCTTTCACTCAAAACATTCCCTACACTGTTTGTAACCCTCATGCAGGAATCCAGGATGAATATTTTCAGTGAAGTTTGTTTCAAACCAACCCTTGGGAGGACCATTTGTTTCCCCCGGGGATGTGCTCTGGGATCCACATTGCTCCAGACAGGACACCTGAAGGTAGCGGTACCTGGCAGGGCAAACACCAGGGAATGGCTGTACATGAAATGCCATGGAAGAGCCCCAGTGGCTTGGTAATTCAAACCTGTCCCCACTTCTTTTGCTCCAGGAGAAAAGGTGGAGCATCGGTGAGAAAGTGCTGGAGGCGGGATGGGGCAGGGAAGGGCAGAGAGCAGAAGGATGCCGGCTGGAAGCAGGACAGAGGTTAATGCACCCGTGGTGAATATTCCGGGGAAGCCTGGCCCTCGCCGGAGGGCGTGTCCTCAAGGCCAGAGGATGGGAATCCTGTTCCCTCTGCCTTTTCCCCTTTAACCACACTTCCGTGTGTAACTTGAGACAAGCTGGGGAAGAAAAAAGAGGAAGGGAAAAAAGARTAAGGGAAAAATAGCGCAGTTATTCCCGCCTCCGCCTCCTCCTCTCTCTCCTCCCCAGCCAGCCAGGAGCCACGTCACCAGGCACTGGCTTTGGGGCTGCTCAGCCTGGAGCTCTCCGGGAGACAAACTCCAACTTTCAGCCCAGAGCAGAGAGAGAAAGGCGCTAGGCTGGAGGAGGGAAAATCCACCTCGGTGGAAAAGTAAACAAGGGAGACATCCAGCCTGGAAGGGGAAAGCCATCTGCAGCCACGGGAGAGGGGAGTCTGAACTTTGTGCCACAAGAAGGGAGGGCTCCGTGCTCAGGGAAAAAGGAAAGTTGAGCCGAAGGAGACAGTTCATTCAGTCGAGCTCGGGGGAGAAAAACTTCCTGCCCTCCCCCTCCCTGCCTGCAGAAAGAGCCCCGCTCCTTTCGTTCCAGAGGAGACCCCCGGCACCATGAACATCTTCCGCATCCTGGGGGATGTCTCCCACTTGCTGGCCATCATTATTCTCCTGCTGAAGATTGTGAAGTCCAAGTCCTGTGCTGGTGAGTGCTCCCATGGCCCAGGGAAGGAGGGCAGCTCTGTGAAGGGTACGAGCAAAATGGGTGCTAGAAAGGCCAGTAATAGCCCATATAAACTGGCAGCCCTCACCCCTGGGCTCTTCGCGGGAAGTCATCCTCCTCCTCTGGGGGGTCTCCCTGCCAGGAGAGGGCTGTGTTGGAAGGATATGATGTGGCAAGGCACAAAGCCTCGGGCACCTGTTGGTCTCAGGGTGGTGAAGTGAAGGAGAGGGCGGCAAGGCTGGACGGTGGTGGAAAATGRAGCAAGAGGTTGTGGCAGCACCAACACCAACATGGAGAGGAAACTGCTTTAGGTTGGAGGTTCTGCCAGTGGTGGACTGGTGCCAGAGTCTGCCCCATCCCAGGGCGAGGAAATCAGGAYAGCAGCTTCCTGCAGAAGGGTTTTGCTCATCATTCATGGTTCCCTCAAGAGGTTTTGGGGCTGGGCTGCCGGGGCTGTGCCCATTATCACAGGTATAGGAGTGGGTGGGCCTGACTGCATCTCTGCTAGCACTGACCAAGTTACATCAGCGTCTTGGGCCTGGTCCTGCAGCTTGTCCTTCCTGTGGCAGAGATGCAACATCACACAGTCCCTGGTGAGGTGGGCAGGCAAAGGGGGAAGAGGGAAAAGAGAAAGGCCTTTTGATGACAAGGACAGAACTGGCCAAAGTGGTGAACATGACCACTGAGCACCAGTTCCTACAGGCAGCACTTAGGGGCATCAGCAGGAACCTGCCCTGTTACTTGGGGGATTGGGGCCACTCCTGGGGTAGAGCAACCTCAGCACCCACACACCAGCCTGGGCTCACAAAACAATACACTTAAATACAAATGCTTCCAAAGGAGGCATAAAGGGAAACCACTATCCCACAGCTCCTTCCCTTCATCTGCTTTACCTTCATTTCATCTCCCTGCCACACAGGAATCTCTGGGAAGAGTCAGATACTTTTTGCCCTCGTCTTCACAACCCGTTACCTGGACCTGTTCACGAATTTCATCTCTGTCTATAACACTGTGATGAAGGTAAGGAGAGGGCAGTGCAGCAGGAAAGGTTCCCCTCAGCTCAGTGTGCTTTCTCAGGGCAGTGACAGTGCACAATCACTGAATTTTTCAGCCAGGAAGGGTGACTAAGGGTGCTTCCTTTGGTACCACTGTCCCTCCATTGACAAAAAAAACAAACCCCTTCTAATMGTCAGTAAGCGAGCTGAGACATATTTAGTACCTCTAAAACCAAGACACCATGAACCAAGCCTGGGTGTCCTTGTACAGCAGAATTAACACCAAGCTTCCACCCAGCCAGCCTCTTCACAGAGAGCCCCATAGGGACTCAAACATGTGATTATCATGGTGGGGCAAGCTTCACCTGACCACTGGAATGCTTCCAGTGTAAGTTAATCTACAAACCAACACATAGGCAGAGTATTTACCACTGTCTAGAATTTTGGCAAAGTCACTCTCTCCTTAAGCATAGAAAAGATAGTGCAATTGCAGATGAGGTCTTGCCATCTCCCTTCTCTCCCACAGGTCATTTTTTTGATTTGTGCCTACGTCACTGTATATATGATCTACGTGAAATTCCGGAAAACGTTTGACAGTGAGAATGACTCCTTTCGCCTTGAGTTCCTGCTGGTCCCTGTCACAGGCCTGTCATTTTTGGAGAACCACAGCTTCACCCCCTTGGAGGTAAGGAAAAGCTGAGGCAGGAAAAGGGGAGGGAAGCAGTAGAAGCCCGACACGAGGCAGCAGAGTGAGCACCATGCTGAATAGCTGAAATTTTTAACACCAAAAGGAGGAAGGAAAGGCAAAGTTGGCCGGCCTTGAAGACAGTACCATCTATAGAGCAGCTTAGCATTGCCTTCTCTCACTCCCAGCACAGTGGGCTCATTTTCCCCAACTCCAGCAGCACTACTCAAACCCCTCACACATGAGTGGTTTGCCACATGAAAAGCTTTGGGCCTTAACAGCACTGTCTAACCAGCCCTGKCTTCATTTTGCACCTCACAGATACTCTGGACCTTCTCCATCTACCTGGAGTCCGTGGCTATCCTTCCCCAGCTTTTCATGATCAGCAAGACAGGGGAAGCAGAGACCATCACGACACACTACCTCTTCTTCCTGGGCCTCTACCGTGCTCTCTACATCGCCAACTGGGTCTGGCGCTATCACACAGAGAATTTCTATGACCAGATCGCCGTTGTTTCCGGGGTGGTACAAACCATATTCTACTGTGATTTCTTCTACCTCTACGTGACCAAAGGTAGGTAAAAAGGTTGCTACAATGAAATGTTCATCCAAAACTCTTGRGGTGTATGGTGGAGCTGCAGCTTTGCCATGTGTTAATCCTTACACAACTTTATTTTTTGCTGTATTTGTGATACATACTGTGCACCTGAAGCTCAGTTTAAAAACCATATCTATTGACTTCAAGTGGGCATCACTGCTTGCAAGGCTCTAGATGTGCATGTGAAACACACAAAGAATTAAACCAGAGTTAAGCCTGGTTTAACCCCATCTTGGGAAGTTAACAACTGAGGTACATTCAATTCTACATTTTGAAAGATTATGAATCACGCCAAAAAAAAAAAGATGGGGAAAAAATAGCTGCAGGCAGACAATGTACCTGAGAAAGCAACAGCAGACATATGGAGATATTATTAAACCTACTCTTCCTTTGATAGAGATCAAGTTCTTGATTGTCAAGAACTGATTCTGTAGGAAGATGGGCATCTGCACATACAAGACACTCCTGTTTTCCAAAATCAGATGCCCGTTCCATTTCAGTGTCATGATTTGGTTAGTGGCTACACACCAGAGCTTACAACTGCACAATGGCATAAATCCTGATAGAACCTGCTGTGGTTTGCAGAGGTTGAAGTACACTTTTAAACACCTTTCTGATGAGGAGGATGGAATTAGATGAGCTTAGCTGAGCAGACAACTATTTTCCTCCTCCTTTACTTTCCCCAACTAGTCTGCCAAAAGCAGTAATGACAGCCCACATTTGATGTTTTGAGAAATGGATTTTTGGTAGCTTCATGCAATTCACCTGCTGATAGAGAGGTGACAGGAGCACTGAGCAGGTGGCTGGCCTTGGCAGATTAAGACTTCCTTCTGTCATTAAATATTTTTGTAGCCAGAAAAATACTTTCTAAAACTGCCATCAATATGCTCCACGTCAATTCCTTTTTTAATTTCTGAAATAATTCCCATTTTAGTTCTGCTCAATTCATGTGTCCTGTGTCCTTCAGTATTTTGTAAGAAATCTATACCTTTTGTAGTTGTGATGGTGGAACAAAAGGGAGAAAAAACATAACTGCTGGCTTTCAGTCTCACACTGCTAGTGACAGAGCTGCAAAATTTAGATGACACAGGAGGCAGAAGAAAAAACATTTGTAGATGGAACATCACAGCAGGAAGAGAATTCTTTTTTTTCTCTTTTCTTTTACACAAATGTCCTGGATCATGGGAGAGAAATGGTGTCTGAAGATATGCAAATACTTTGCAGTCATTTATGAGAGCCAGTAATATTATAGCAGGTTGCATCTCTTACATTCTTTCCAAAAAAAACAACTTTCCAAAACATTTCTAATGCTGAAAAGCTGAGAAAAAAGGGCAGTGATGCTGAAAAAAGCAAGCAAAAATGTGTGATATAAAGAAATGTATTTGGTAAGACTTCTGAGCCTATACCAAAGCATTGCAAAGGGATTTTTATAGAATGCTACTTCTTTTTAATCTTGTTTTCAAAACTAGATGAGCTCCTTTCTGTTTAACACAAGGACATGAAAGATATCCTGAGGAAGCTTTCAGGTCCCCAAAGCTTTTGTATCACAGAATGGCCAGGGGTGTAAGCAGTTAGAATGGAAGGGGGGAAATCATCTAATCTGTGTCCCTGCTCACTTTTTTCAAGGTCCTGTCCAGTAAGGTTATTTCCAGGATGAGCCTCTCTGGGCAGTCTGTGCCTGTGTCTGACCACCCTCACTACAAAATATTATTTTCAAATGTTTAAGTGGAATTTCCCATTGCCCCTTGCCCACTGGGTACCACTCAGCAGAGTCTGGGTCTGCCTCCTTTATTCCTTCTGTCCAGCACTTGTACACATGGGCGAGTTGCCCTTCAGCCTTCTCAAAGCTGAAGTCTCAGCTCGCAGCCTGTTCTTCTACATCAAGATGCTCTTGTGGTCCTTAACTCGCCCCAGTGTGTCCCTATCTTTTTCTGTGAGCCCCAAGCTGAACCCACCACTCCAGTTCTGACTTCCCAAAGCTGAGTGGAGAGGAAGGACTCCCTGCTCAGCCTGCTGGCAATGCAGCTACAGCAGCTGTTTGCTCTGTCATGAGGACATACTGGTGGCTTGTGATCATCTTGGTGTCCACCAGCACACCGAAAGCCTTTTATGCCAAGCCACTTTCCAGCTGGGAGCCCCAAGCACATACTGGTGGCTGGGGTTGTTCCACAGCAGGGGCAGGATCTGCATTTGGCTTTGCTGAYCTTCACAAGGCCTCCCTAGCCCATTTCTCCAGCCTGGCACAGTTTCTCCAGCCCCACCGACGCCATGAGGCACTGCTGTGTGATGCACCCTTAGCACATCACTGCCCTTCCCTCTGGCACCCAACAGACGGACCCCAGTGCCCACCCTGGTACCACCGTATGTACCAGGCACAGATGCTCTGCACCGCTGACCACTGCACATGCAGGACAATCCCTGCTCTGGCCACCCCATCTAAGCCCATGGGCCTCTGGCATTTTTCAGAGGCATCCCTGCCCTCCAACCGTTCAGCTCATAGAGACTGGGAGGTGCTCAGTGCGGGTCTGGCCACAGACATTTATTCAGGCTCTGTATCATTGATACATGCTTTGTATCAAAAGGAGGGGAAAACACCAGGGATAGCATATCAAGGAAAAAAAAATTAAAATGATATGCCCATGAAAACAAGTAACCATGGAACACAAACAAGAACCTTCTCCTTTAACACAGAGGATAAATAGGTTGTGGTTTCTCCACTTGGCAGCATTTCATAGTTGTTGTCTCCCATCAGTGGTTTGCACACCTGGCACTCAAAATCACAAGTTAGAAAACACAATATTGAAATAATAAAACAGTTGAATTCCACTAAACTTATTCATTACACCTTCTCTTTCTCTTTGCAGTCCTAAAAGGAAAGAAACTAAGTCTTCCCATGCCTGTTTGAAGACACCCCACAGGAGCACAAGAAATTCCAAAGACGAAGCCATTTAAGATCACAGCTTTCCTTCACTGGCCCTTCATCACTAACGGGTGGCTCAGCTGAGTTTCAACCAGTGCCAGGAAGACAAGACCTGGAAAACTGAAATGCTTTTCATCCATCAGACTCTTCCCCTCCATTTTTTTTTTATTTCTTCTCACTTGAATTTGGTGCTAGTGCCAGCCAATACTGAAGTAGCGCAGTTTATTCTCTCCCAACTCTTCCCAGCATCTATGTCCAAAACAKATCTCTATCTTGACCCTGAGGCAGCACAAGTGAAAATGTCACTCCCTTTAGCCCTTCAGCAAGTGTCCATGGTAAAGGGAACATGCATTAATGAAGCCTRTCAACGTAAGGCAACTGACCCATTTGACAGGTGGCCATGTCTGACACTGCAGATACTACAAACTGTTTCTTCAACTCCCTTTGAACTAACACCCTCTCGAAAATTAACTCTGCCTGACCCTCTCTCTACTCAGGTTCAGTAACATCACAAAAAAGACACACTGCCTTTGAATTACATAAATCTTCTAATTCCACAAGTATTCAAACACCCTTCCAGCTCACTTATTTTCAGTTTTCTTGTATTTTACACACRAAGACAATTTAAATTAAAATTCAGTGGCTTGCCAGGAAGTGTTTCCATCTCCTTGAATTGGACTTTTAAGAACTGGGAAGAACAGGGGCAAAGACAGCTTTACATTCCAAAATAAAGACAAAGTTCACAATTTATTGGTAACAGTGTTTTTATTTATACCTACAAAAGAAAACAAGATGGTATCAAAAGGACAATTTACAAACTAAGAATAGTAACATAGCTCTTAGTATCCTGTGCCTGAACACCACAGATCTATCAATCTCTCATTTCAAGTCTTCATTAATACAACAGGAATGTGTTCAGAGACCAGCAGGTGTGTGAAACAATATGCTGATCCCACACAAAGCTAGTAACCCTTCCATTGTTCAGAGAAGTCCTAAAAGTAAATTACTTCAGGAAGTGGGAGGGGAGGAGACACCCAACTGAGATATCTGACACTCCCACAAACATTTTACAGATTGAAAACAATGCAAACAACACTAGAGGCTAACGCTTTATCAGCAAGGGCCCTCCAGTTGGTAGATGGAGCAGAACAGAGAGCACCAGATGGGACAGGGGCAGCACATGTCACGGTGCCTTCAGCAGTGTGGCTGACACTCTGAACTGAACGGAGACCCTGGACTTTAGCTGACCTCAATGGCAATAAAGCACTGCAAGACTTGGCATTGATGTTTAAACACGCACAAGTCACCCCCCAAAAGTGAAAGCTACAACAGACTATAAGGCAGCTTTGGTGGTCCAGAGACCCTTTTTAAAGCCAGTCAGTGAGATGTCCTATTCCTACACCACTCAAACATATTTCTGCATTCTACTCTCAAATTTAAAACAAAAAAAAAAA